TTTTTTTTTTCATATTATCTATAGTTTTACAATTCTAATGATATATTAATCGTGAGTTTTTCATTATCGTTCTTATTAATTGGTAATGTTTATCTCTCTTTTCTTCTTTTCTTATCTTTTTTTAATACATCAAATACGGATATTTTTATTTTTATATAAACATTACATTAATATATATGTATAAACATTGGAAAAATTTGCAAAATCGACATCTTTTTGGCTAAATATTTAGCAAGACGGACTGTTTTGCTAAATATTTAACAAATTAGGTCTATTTTGCAAATTTCTTCTATAAACATTACATTCTTTTAGTAATGTGCTCCTTTGTTTTACTTCATAAACCTCAAGCGACGGATACTGTGGAATGGATGGATGGAGTACATCAGCAACTTACAACATATATAACTGGTGGCTCATTATTAATGAACGCGATGAAAAAGCCATACAGGAAAGAAATACAAGGACAACAAGCTGGGTGGGATGTAGCAAAATCGGCTAGGACACAGTATATCACAAGAGCAAGTAGTAGTATCCTGCTGCCGTCTTGCCTGCCACCTCCTTTATTGGAAATCATCACACAAAAGTAAAAGCACACAATAGATAGATGATAGATAGCTTAGCCGGTGTTGCATGCCCGGCACGTAGACCGCCTTACCGGAGAGCAGCATGCATGCCTAGAGTGCGTGCCCATGCTCAATCCAGACCGTGGTTTTTGTGGGGCAGGACGGTGGCCAAAGAGGGCCAACTGGGAGTGATCTTCTTAGGACCAGTAATGATATAGTCATCAGTGCCGCCAGGGGCAAAATTGATGAGCGCGTATTGGTCTCCTTTGAAAAGATAGGCCTCGTTTTTGGTGTGGGAAGCAAAGGCCGCCTCAATTCCGCTCTCAAAGATGGTGCCCCTCAAGCTATGAAAGCCGTCGGTGATCTTCTTAGGTCCGCCAATGAGCCTTGGTTGCTTGTAGTTGATGAGAGCGTATCGATCCCCCTTAAAAATGTAAGCTTCATAGTCGGCTGAATACTCAAAGGCAGCATCAACACCATTCTCAAACCCGGTCCCTTTGAAGAAAGGGAACATCTCAGCTATGGTCACGGGTCCTTCGATGATACGGTCATCCGTGCTGCGGGGAGCGAAATTGATGCGGGCGCAGAGGTTGCCTGTGAATATATAAGCTTCTTTAGAGTCATAAGACCCGAAAGAACAGTCGATGCCGTGTTCTGCAAAGGCCGTCTTGGCTAGGGAAGGGAAACCGTCGCGAATAAGAAGGGGCCCGTTCAATATCTTGTCATTTGTCCCGCCGGGAGCATAATCTATCAATATATATTCGTTCCTCATGAACAAGTAGGCTTCATTAGTGTAATACGAGCGGAAGCCTGCATTTATGTTGCTATCAGTGTTGGTCACCTTCTCGCCGTACCATATGGCAGTCCCACTTGGACTAGTAAAAGTGCCATCATCTGGGGTACTGACGTCCCGTTTCTTCCGCAGGGGTTGCGGATCAGTATAAGTGATATTCAACGGTACTCTCCTGTTGTTTATCATGCAGTAATCCACCGCGTTATGAATGGTAATGAGCCTTCTTTCTGGATGAGAAGCTGGATCGATATACGGGTTCATGACTAACACCTGGTCCACCCTCTCCCGTCTCAAATGCCCCCTGCATTTATTAACTAACTCATTGGATCTTAATTTCTACGTTCAAAGTGCGTTAGACGATCGATATGAAGTGGTACTTTATAATAAAACACCGTCATGTTTTATATACATATATATATGACTTATAATTCACTGGGTTACGTTACATACCCGCCGGACTCAACAAGCCTGAAACGCTGGGCAGAGCGAATGTATTGACGGTTGATACCCCGAACAAAGGCGACCTCATCCTGGGCCTGGTATCGGTAATTAGCAAGAGTCAGAGCAACCCAAATGCCACCAGGAGCATAGATCTCGTAACGCCAGACTTCCCGGTCCCTGTAACTGCTGGTCTGAGGAACATACCCGCTATTAAGGGTGGTGCTAACAAAAATGTAGTTGTTTCGATGCGGGTTCATTGGTGAGCCAGCATTGTAGACGTAGTCGTGAAGGTTATAGTAGGTGCTGTCCGGGGTGTCACCTTGCGCGTCAGCTTGGAACCCATTTATGAACACCTGCTCGGGTTCCAGTGAGCTCCACCGGAACACGTGTCCGTGTACGTCCTCTTCATTGTAGCTGGTCCTAAACACCACTCCCGGTCCGTTATATTGGTGCATAGCCTGTACCAACTCCTCTGCTTCCATCAATCCTTCTTCCCCAACAGGTTGAGCTAGGTGCGCCGAGCATCCTCTGGCTACCAGGTCTGTTGGGACTGCCATCCTTCTTTTTTTTTTCCACAAAAATCAATCAGAATTAATCGTGCTTGCCTTTCAATTACAATAATTAAAATTACCTGTACCAATATAATATGCTTGCTAGGAGGACTAGTAAGCCTCACACGAAGATTGTTATGTCGACGTGTGAAGCTTTCTGAATAAGAGTAGGTTTCTTGTTGGTTTCACGGTCAAATCTACTCATCATCAAATGATTTTGTATTACATACATTTAAAAGTCACTTGTTTAAAGTTTAAAAGTTCAACACAATCTTATAAAGGTTTAAGGATTGTTCAGTAATAGAAAAGTCTTCTACTTTTCTTGAAAATTATTATTAGAAAACAAGGGGCAGAGAAACTTATTCAAATTTTAAAAAATTTCCAAAAAAATATTTTCCCACCTCACCAAAGTTGCACTTCACGAGGAAAACAATAAATTATTGTTTCCCAAACTTTTCTAAATACTTTTCCCTATAAGGTTGAAAAAAAAAGTAATTATGACAAGTTGATTTTTTAGTTTATCAATTATGTAACGAATATTTTGAAATTTATAGTTCGATATGAATGAAAAATCAAAATCAATTCAATTTTGATATCAATAAATTTATAATTTATGAACATTTAAACTTTTGTTAAGAGATAAATAATTATGATATGATATATTTGTTAAAAAAAGCATAAACAATTATCAATGGTCCTTTTAGCCCACTAAAAAGTGCGTAACTTTTCTAACATAAGAAAAACAATTAGTTTAATCAGTTTACAAAGTACTCTTTGGTAAATTAATCTACAAACTTTTTGTTTATATATAAATATAACTCTCACTCTCCATATCGAACTGAAAAGAAAATACTTCCTACTTATGCAAAAATTTTAATGGCATAACTCCTTTTTTTTAAAGAGCTTCACGTATTTTATTCAGTGTGAAATTAATGAGCTACCTAAAATCTAAGCTATCTTTCAATTGAAACTTTAGTTTAGTTTTGAAGCAAATAGATAATTTTACTAATAAAAATTACTTATTATCTGATATTTAGTAAGATCAAACTTTTTTCGAAATGACTTCTAAATTTTATGTTTGTCTTTTACCATTCAAGTTCTATCAAACTTTTGCTTTCACTTTATTCATATATTTTAAAATGCCAGTTATATTTACATTAAAGTTTAATAAGAAAAAACTGTGGCATTGCCACGACAAAACCTAGTTAATTTTATTTTATCAACTTTTTATAAATATGAAATTATTAGGTAAATTCAACCCAGATACGCTAACATAATTATGCCGTTTGTATATGTGAGTTCAGAAGTACTCATATAAAAGCATGGGTTTACACCACCTCAGTCATGGTGGCCAGCCATAAATTCACTTAGGGGCTGTTTGGATGTCTTTAGGAAACTAGAGTATTTATGACACAAAGTAGAAAATGGTTATCCACCTCATCACTTTCCATTTGAGTGTTTACATTGTTTGGTTAGGAATCTTTGTGAATCCTAAAATAATAGTATTACATTGTTTGGATGGTATAATGTAAACTAGAGTATTTATGACACAAAATGGAAAGTAGTTATTCACCTCACCATTTCTACAAGGTTTTGACTTTTTTATTATTTTTTTGGACACATTTATGACATTGTGTCAGCTTTCCAACAAAACCACTCCTAATTTTGGTGATTTTGCTTTCGATGACACCTCATCAAAAGATGTAAACTTTTTATGTAAAAGAGAATTTAAACAAACAATGTAAAGTGATGAAAGCTGACATTGGAACCCATTTTTTTACACTTTCCATCCTTTTACATGGTAAAAACATACAACCAAACAGCCCCTTACAATCTACCATGGGTGTACAGATCATGAACTAGATAAGAACCGTTTATATAGGACTCTGAAGGAATTTAATTTCCCAATTAAAAACTCTCATGAGAAAGGTTGAGAAGTGATCTATATCATTCTCAAATTTCATCAAAGAAAACGTGGTTCATGAAGGACAAACCAGCTGACCAAGTGTGTCGGTAATAATTTTAGATATATTATGTTGATTACAATTTATAATACCTGAAGATGCATCAAAGCTTTGATGATTGCTTGAAAATATTATTAAATCTTCTATATTGAGATGCTTTATGTATTGCACTTGGGGTAGATAAGAACCGTTCATATAGGTCTGAAGGAATCTAATTTCCCAATTAAGAACTCACATGAGAACGGTTTAGTAATCTATCATTTTCAAATTTCATCAAATAAAACGTGGTTCATGAAGGACGAACCAACTGACCAAGTGCGCCGGTAATAATTGTTGGATATGTATATATATTTTTATTTCTTCACCATCACATGGGCTGCTGCAGCCCATGTGATGATTTAATTTCAAAGGTGGTGGGGCCCACCGAAGAAAAAATTGAACGTGGGCCCCACATGCATAGTAAAATAATAATATTTTATTAGTACATATAGTATTTTTTCAAATCCTATAAATAGACCCCAAATCCTTAAGGAAAATTCATTCCAAAAACAACAATCAATATATACAGTTATATATTGTAAAATAGCTAGTGCTTATAGGAACAGTGCCTAGATCGAGAAGGTCTGTTAGATCGATGAGATCTTTACCTTATAGATCGATGAGATCTTTGCCTTACAAATCGAGGAGATCTTGACAGTATCAGGTTGGTGCACACCAGAGTACTGTACTGCTGTTCCTGAAAACAGTTTGACATTGGGATCCTTGCACTGGAATAGGCCAAATATTGCTTTAAGATTGTTGGCGTCTGTGGTTAAATCTGGAATAATACAGATATAAAGCAGCAAATAACTAAAATAAAGCTTTTTGGTCAATGAATTAAAGTTTTATTCATCTTCCAAGTGTGTAAAAGAGCTGTACATCAAAAAACCAGGATTAATATAACCTGGTAAACAAGAAGCTGAAATTTTATAGTTACAACTTCATTATCACTTCCTTCACATGTGGAGGAAAATCTTCATTCAAAATTTTAGAAAAGATGGAGAGTTTGATAGCACGGAAGAGAGAACCAGAACCCCTTGCTTTCCCCTGAAAATTCTGACATTCCTCTCTTGCCAGATTAAGTAAACTGCTACTGATAGAGTCATTCTCTTCAAATTCTTCTTAAACCCTTTTCCTTTCAAACAGCAAGAGAACCATCTACTGAGTTGATCCCAATGATAGGTTCTTCATGTAAATCCCAACCAATCCATTGCATTGTTCCTTACACCAGCTGAGTACTGACATTCAAAAAACAAATGCTTGCAATTTTCCAGTTGTCTAGAACACAAAACACAGCAGTTAGTGCTAAGAATTCCAAAACGACACAACCTTTCCTGAGTGAGAATCTTAGAGTGATAGACTAGACAAAGTATGATAGAATGCTTGGGATAATTCAGGCTCCCCCAAGTTGTTTCCGCCCAAGTAATTGATGAAGATGATTGAGTTAGAATATTGTATACCAGAGATAGCCGAAGTTTGCCATTGATACAGCAGCTATTAAGAGTGTTTAGCACATTATCCGCATTACAAAACTTAGCAAAGATCATGTTTCTAATTTTGAGGAGTTGCTTCCACATCCATGAGTCATTCTTCCTCTGTTGAATTTGCCAAACACTTGAATTTTGTAGATAGTGACCATGGATCCATTTGATCCAAAGCAGGTCTTTCTTCTGATGAATCATCCATAGTAGTTTCACAGCAGCTGCTTGGTTCCATAATTTGGCTGAAACAGACCTAAGCCTCCCTATTTCTTACCCAGGCAAACTAAATCCCAAGATATTAAGTGAATTTTCTGACCCTAAAGAAAGGGTGAGCATGTCAATTTTTTCAAAAATCTTGCTCGGCATGATATAGTTGCTGAACCAGAAGGTTTGTATCCCAGGATGACTAATTTAATCATTTGAATTCTCCCCGCATAGGATAGATTCTTGTTTTGCTGCTAGCTTTGAAATTGATTAGTAATTTTGCTTATAAGAGAAGAACACTCGAAGTGTGTTATATATCCTTCTTGTTGTCAAAGGTAGCCCCAAGCATCTCATAGGCAAAACACCCTCTGAAAAGCTCAAATACGTGCAAATTTAGGACTTTTGATTATCTTCAATACCACTCAAGTAGATTGCACACATATTGGGATTGGCTTCCAGTCCTAATACTTGGCAGAATTCTTGCAAGCAAGTGTTTAGTCTAGTGATTGAGCTCATATCAGCTTTGCCAAACATTAACAAGTCATCTGCAAAAAGCATATGTGTTATATTCATTTTAGAACATTTGGGATGAAATTTGAACCTTTTCTCTTCCTTAAGCGGCTCTAGTCTCCTTGACAGGTATCCCATGCCTATCACAAAAAGATGGGGGGAGAGTGGGTCTCCCTGTCTCAGAACTCTTGCTCCATGGAAATAACCATGCAAAGAGCCATTAAGGGATAGAGAAAATTTTGGAGTGGTGATGCACTCCCAAATCCAACCGATCATTATTTCAAGGAATCCCAGACCCTCAAGCATAGTCTTGATGAAACCCCAATTCATAGTGTCAAAAGCCTTCCTTAGATCCACATTTATAATGGCTCTAGGTGATATATGTTTTTTCCCATAGTGCTTGATGAGCTCATGGGCTAAAAGGAAATTACTTGAGATAAGCCTCCCTTTAACAAATGTACTTTGTGCATCATTAACCAAGAAACCCATGATATTCTGAATCCTGTTAGCAATATTGCAGCATGCTATTGGCCTGAAGTCAGATGTTGAGTTTGGGTTGAGGATTTTGGGAACCAAGGTAATGGTTATAGAATTTAGAGCACCGAGAAGTTTATCTGAACTAAAAAATTCCTCAACTGCCATGAATATATCTTCATTAATGACTTCCCACGCAGCCTTGAAGAAAGAAGCACTAAATCCATTTGGGCCTGGGGCTTTTCCATCTGATATAGTGAAGACAACTTGTCTAATTTCCTCTCTGGTGATAGGTTTACTAAGCTCAACGCGTTGATTGGAAGAGAGAATTGGCCCTTTAGAGATAACCACAGGATTAGGAGGTGTAGTGGGTATTATGGTTCCAAGCAGTTTTTTGTAATATTGAATGAATTCAGAGATGATATCTTGTGTATCTGTAATCCTGATACCATTTTCAGTGTATATAGACATCACTCTATTGTGGTGTCTCTTATTCTTCATAATAGCATGGGAATATTGGGTGCTTTTATCACCTTGCAATCCTCACTTGATATTAGCTTTTTGCCTGTGAAATGAGTTTTCACAATCAAGTAACTTTGTGTATTTCCTAATTTGTTCCTTTTCCCTGGCAATCAGACCTGGATTAAAAAGGTCAGAACTCAGTTGAGCTTGTATATCATATAGCTCTGCTTTAGCTCTGGATAATTGTTCACTAATATTCATGAAGTGTCTTTTATTCAGATATTTGAACACAGGTTTGAGTTTTTTGAGCTTGTTTTGCACCATGTACATGCTGTATCCAGAGATATGCTGATTCCAAACTGAGCTAACTGCTGGTAGGAAGTCTGGGTGTTTAGTTCACATAGAAAATAATTTGAATGGCCTCTTGCCTTCACAATTACCTTCATCTCCAACTGTTAACAATCCTGGGGAGTGATCATTTGAATGGCCTCTTGCCTTCACAATTACCTTCATCTCCAACTGTTAACAATCCTGGGGAGTGATCAGAACAATATGGCATCAGAAAATCCACAATTACCTTCATCTCCAACTGTTAACAATCCTGGGGAGTGATCAGAACAATATGGCATCAGAAAATCCACCTGGCTTGATGTATATTAGAAAATCTAGTCTTTATTAACTAGAATTCTATCCAACCTGCTCCAGACTCTTGTAGATGCATCTTGCTTGTTACTCCAAGTGAAAAAACATCTAGTGGATTTAATATGTTTTAGCTGGCTTGTATCAATAAAATTCTGAAAGTCCTCAACCTCTGAATTTGTTATTTGAGTCCCTCCTAGCTTCTCTTCACTATTAAGTATGGAATTGAAATCACCTCCTACTGGCCAGGGTCCTGACACATTCCTTTTGAAAGTTATTAGATCATCCCAAAGAACTTTTATGCCTTCTATATGATTGAGAGCATATATGGTTGTGATTAAACACTTTAGTCTTACATCTTTTGATTCCACATTGCATGTAATGAATTGATCAGAACTATTAATATTCTGGACAGAGAGATAATTATTATCCCAAAGAATCCATATCCTGGCTTTGTTAGCAGTGTGATGCACATTAGAAATTCATTTCCAATATTTTGCAACTTTTTTAGCAATGATCTTCATTTTCTCTATAGACACTTAAGTTTCTAAGAGAGCAAGGAAGGAGATTTTGTAATCCTGAATGAACTGCTTAACAGTCAAGTGTTTAGAGGGTTTGTTAATCCCTCTAATATTCCAGGTGGCTAAATGCATTTATTGGGAAATACCACCCCTATCATTGCTATAGCGGTCTAAATCAAGTATCTGGTGCTCCAAACTTGAGAATTGTGATGCATGGATTGGATTACCAGGCTCTTTAAAATTGATTCTCTTAGCTACGTTTGCTCTGGTGACACTAGTGAAACCAGTAGTATTGATAGTGGGAGAGAAATGAAGCTCCCCAGAGAATTGACCCCTAGCAAGTACAGATTTTTTTGGCTCCTTTGACCGTGCAGCTAAACTAGGAACCCTTTTCATAGCAACAGGACCCTGTGTGACAAAGCCAAATATACCTGACCTATCTCCAGCTTCAGAATTCTTTGTTGACCCAGGAGGTGACTGAATTACAATATTAGCAGCAATAACTTGAGACTGTGCATGTTTCATAACATCTTGTGCATGTTTTGCACTTGAACTTTCATATACCCCAGAGTCAGAGTTTTTATGTGCAGTTGTTCCAGCATCTAAACCTCTCACATCAACATTGTGATGTAAACTTTTTTCCTTGTACATTCACAACTGGATTCACAGCATGATTTTGAGCATTTTGTCTGTTTACAGGAACCCAAAATTTTGTTTTATTCCTTCTATACTGACCAGTTTCATGTCCAAGTTTATTACATGATGTACACCATCTTGGTTTGAGTTCATATATCACTTCCTAAGCATAGCTTCTTCCATCAGGATCTTGAATGACAATTTGATCAGGTAAGGCCTCTTTCAAGGGCAAGTTCACTTCTATTAAAACTCTTGCGTAGCTTAACCTTTGCCTAGTAGCAGTAAGTTTATCTATTGATATAGGTTTACCAATGAGGCTAGCTACCTTATTGATCCCAATTGAACTCCAAAGGTTTAGCTTCAGATTAGGGAATTGTACCCAAAGTGGATAGGAAAAGTCTTGAATTTTATCCAAATCAGTGTCAATACTCCATATCTTTAGCATCAAAGGCCTAGAACCAAAAAACCAGGGGTCTACCTCTAAGACATCTTTCATTTGCTTCTCCGTTTGAAAATCAAAAAGGAACAGACCTATCTTGATTAAAGAAACCTTTGGAATAGAATAATTTCCCCATATCTTACTCACATATGTTTCCATTGATTTGAATTTAACATTCAAACCAATAACATGCCCTATTAAAGCATTTCTCCATAATTGTTCCCCTTCTTTCCATTCATCAATAGTAAAAGAGGCAGTTTTTGATTGGGAAGATGGCATGTAGCTCAGAGACAGACCATTACCTGATTTCCTGTTATCAGCAAACAAGCTTGCGAAGGTTTTTCTAGGTATTGGATCAGTTTTTCCATATTATCATCATTACCAGTAGATTTATCCCTCTCTCTCTCTCTCTCTCTCTCCAGATTTTAGATTACCGGAAGATACTGAATCATTATTAGACTTATCTCTCTCATTTACTAATTCATCAGAATTGATTTCCACAGTTTCAGTCAATGGAACAGTATCAGCATCAGAAATTACTTTTGAAATCTCTTGATCTGAGCTAAGGACACTTGTGGATTTAGAGTTTAAAGCCTGAGAAAAAGAAGAAACAGAGGGAATCACCTCCAATTCAACCTCATCAGCCCAGGAGTCCCTAGATGAGCTGCTGATTCCATTTCTGAGATGTCGAGCTTGACTTCCTTCCTTGAGAGGAGTAGCTAGGGATCGATGAGATCCAGACAAGAAATCAGTAGATCTGAGGATTCCTCCATCGATTTCTTCATCTTCTCTCCTTTTGGACCAGTCGAGCCCATAACATCTTCGTTGAGTTGATCATCATCTTCCTCAAGATTAGTATCAAAATGATCCTCAAGAGCTTGCGAACAAGAGCTTGAAGATCGCAGACCAATACTGAGTATCTTCCTTCCTCTTCTATTCTTCTTCTTCGCCATTGAAAACTAAGCGGGGGCGCACGATAGTAGAGAGTAGATCGCCCGCTATCTTATATCTTCAGACATCCCCCTCCTTTTTCTTTCCATTTACATATAACTAACTAATCTGAGTCAGTGATAATTTTAAATGTCAGGATATTTCTTACAACTCTAAAATTTTTAGGATGCTTTTTATAATTATTAAAACTATAGATTAGAAACACATGAAATATAGAAGTTATAACTACCAAACTTAAAAGTAAGTTTTTTAAAAACACTCACAAATGTTTAAAATTACAAATCACACCCTCAAAGTTCAAAAGCACAAAAAGGACTGAAATTTTAAAACTTGGCAAAGAAAAGTATAATTGTTTGGTATTATTAAAATAAGATATATATAATTTTTAATTAGGATTTACTATCCCTTTTCAACTTTTAAAAATAGTCTAAGTTGATACTTATAAACAAGATGTAAAACACCATATTTTGATAGAAGTATATGTGAACTATTAGTGATAAATAGTTTTATTTGTGGTAAATGACTTGAGGTCATGGATATAATTGGTAACAAGTTTCTAGATATGTATAAGTGTGGTTTCATAGAGTTTGTGCATTGGTTTTGGCAGAATAACAAAACATGCACGAATCTGGAAATTAAGGTCTGCTTAGTCGACTTATGAGTCGACTCATGAGTCGACTAATGAGTCGACTGATGAGTTGATCTATGAGTCCACTGAAGCGCTAATTTTGGGTTTTCTTTTAGTTGCGGGTTTGATTGGGTTTTGTTCGGATTTTAACCGTAATATATATATATATATATTATTTTACCCGAAACCAACCCAAAAACCTATCAGAATCTCAGAGAAACCCTAGCCCCTCTCTCCACTCAAACCCTAGTTCGTTTTGGTGATTTTGGGGAATTTTTGGAGGATTTCAAAAGGATTTTTGGGGTGCTGTCGAAGGAGGATCGTTCTCCAAAGGGCTCAGGAGTTTTTCTGCATACCAGAGGTGAGTAACATCTCGCCCAATCCTACACCCACTGTTTGTATTTCTTATTGAGTTTTCTTTTGGATTTATTGATCCTAAATCAATATTTTGCGTATAAAAGTATATCTCTATAGTATTTAATGCGAGAAATCAATTGTTTTAATTAATAAAAGTTCACTATCGTTTTGTAACCTAGATCACTACTAGAAGCAAGACTTTTAGCGACGGACAAATCCGTCGCTAAAAGTCTAAATTCTGTCGCTAAAACCTTTAGCGACAGAAAAAATAAAATTCCGTCGCTAAACAACCGTCAGTACAGTGAGGGTAGCTAAAATTGTTTTTAGCGACGGATATTCCGACGCTAAATTTCAGCAACGGACTTTTAGCGACGAATTATCTGTCGTACTATTTTTAAAAATAAAAATAAAAAAACATTAGCGACGGATTATCCGTAGCTAAAACAATTTTTAGCTACGGATTTTCTGTCGCTAAAACATATTGGCGACGGCGTGTCCGTCGCTATAACTAGTTTTAAAAAAATAAAAAAATAAGGTGAATTTTCCGTCGCCATTAACATTAACATTAACGACATAAAAGCCGTTGCTATTTTCCGTCGCCAAAACATTTTGGCGACGTCTTATCCGTCGCTATAACTAGTTTTTAAAAAAATAAAAAAATAAGGCGATTTTTTCGTCACCATTAACATTAGCGATGGAAAATCTGTCGCTAATGTTTGTCCCCCGTATCAGTTTTCCGTCGCTAAAGGTCTATGTAGCAGCGGCCAATCCGTTGCTAAATATTTCCAATACATTTTTAAAAATAATTGAAAAATTGAAAAAACCTGTACAATAATATAATAAATTTAAAAACCTATTCAATCAGCAGTATAATATTCATTCTCATACATATATAACACATATAATTTAATTAAAATATCCCAGCATAATAAACGTTGTTTATACAGCACACACCATGATAAATATTGTTTATACAACACACTCATTCATTGTTTTCAAAGGTTAAAAAATAAATCAGTCCTCCTGATCATCATCATCATCCTCCTCATCACCAGCTTCACATTGTCTAGAAGTCCCGGCCTGCAAATATAAATCAAACGTTAACAACATGGCATGATATTCAAGTATAGCAATAAGAGAGTATCATGGCATATTCTTATGTATACGCACACACGCACGCACACGTACACACGCAAGTATACGCACACACGCACGCACACGTACACGCGTGTACACATGCACGCATGTATACACGTGTGTACGCATGCACGCACGCATACACGCGTGCATGCACGCACGCATACACGCGTGCATGCACGCACGCATACACGTGTGCACGCATGCACGCACGCATACACATGTGCACGCATGCACCACACTCCACACCCCGCTCCCCTTCCCCCTACATCACCACCACCACCAAATCCCCACTCCTTCCCCTCCCCACCACGACCAAACCACCCACCAAGCGATCACATAACCAACCATACGAACGCACGCACCACAACAACACAACTAACCAACCATACGCACACACGCACGCACACGTACACGCGTGTACGCATGCACGCACGCATACACGCGTGTACGCATGCACGCATGCATACACGCGTGTACGCATGCACGCATGCACCACACTCCACACCCCCTCCCCCTCCCCCTACATCACCACCACCACCAAATCCCCACTCCTTCCCCTCCCCCACCATGACCAAACCACCCACCAAGCGATCACATAACCAACCATACGTACGCATGCACCACAACAACACAACTAACCAATTCACCAACCAATACTACCATCACTACGCACGTACGCACCATCAACACCACCATCACATAAAAATATTATACGTATATATTTTGGGCTTTGTGTTAGGGTTAGAGTTAGGGTTTGTATATAAAAGTGTGTATCGATGTGTGTGATATCATTTAGTCACATGGCATATTCATAACTAAGTAAGAATTAAATATATTTAATTCATTTAATTTAAAAAATAAAGTATATATATTACCTGATCCGCCATAAATCGTCTCCTATATGCCTTCCTGAGCCTCTTCAGACTGAGTCGACATGAGCTGTGTGAACTCTAATTGTTGCTGCTCCGGCGCCTTCGTTCTTCCTCCGCAATCCGCTGATATGTTATTTGCTGTGATTGCCAATCTTCAATCGCTTTCATCCGCTGCTCCATCGAGTCTTGATATGAACTGTTTCCTGGTGTTCCTGGTGGTGCTGCAGACTCGTAAGTGCTACTAGACTCGTGCGGCTTCTGCTCGGATCCTCTCCACCGGTATCTGTTCTTCCTACTTGGTCCAATGACCGTCTCGATAATGGAGTCCTCCTCCTCTCTACTTAGCCGGGCCAGAGTGCTAGAATCAACCTGAGACTGAGATATTTGCTCTTGTACCTTGGCATGTAATTTCTCCTGCGATATTTCAAAACAACCCGGGCAAGTCAACTTTTTAATGATGCATTGTTATGAAATTGAATATACAAATGAACTGCTACTTATAACCAGATCCTTGTTCTTCGTCTTATTCTCTTCATTGGTGTAATTCGGGCTCCAAGAAGTCAGAATACGATCTGCAAAATGTCCGAGATCTCCCCTTCCCTATTTTATTCAAATATATTATTAACCCATAACACATAAAGTATACTCAAATTGACAATTTATAAGCTAATATATTATATACCTCAAGCGACAATTGATGATAATGCTGGCTAAAGGACCTGGAACCCTGTGATGCTCGTAACTATGGGGAGCATTGCGGTTCCTCCTTGCTATTTCAGCTTGAGCCTAGAAAACAATGTCAAATCAGAAAAATATAGAAATTCAGCTTATAAAATAAAAAAAATCTACAGTAATAATACCTGGATTTCAGCCGTGTCCCAGTAATCACAAAGTGTAAAAAATTCTACTCCATCTACACGCTCGTCAAGATGCCAAAAGCGTTCCCAATCGTTTGTTATTTACATGAAATATTTTTTCTTCACCTCAGATCGCCACCTCTTGAATGATATATTGATTTGCGTGAAGCAGTAAGTCCAAGCACAAATGTTATCATCAAGGAAGAAAAATCGCTTCAGCATATAAAAAAAGAGATACAAATCAGTGTATTAAACATAATAATAAACTAATAACTCCAAATGATGAAAATCTGAATAAATGACTCCTGGCAAAAAAATAATAAACTAATAACTCACACATATATATCTCCAACAAGCCACTAGCGCATCAATTCGTTGTGATTTCCACATCAAAAAAAGATTAAAGAAATCATGTCTCCTGGCTAAAGCGGCGAGAAAATTATTGAAAACATTGGCAAATGCCCCGACAGGCACTCCGTGCTCCTATCAGATCACAGCCCTCCGATGAATATCAGGGATGAGGTTCTGTGGCTTGGTAGCACTACGGCCGCGCCTAGGAGGTCACCCGGTACCTGCGAAATAATAAAAATCGGGTGACATATAAATCAATCCATACCCATAATAAAAAGTAAAATAATAACCGATAAACTATAAAAATCTATTCACACCTTTCAGTTCGATGCATCTACGCCTTGCTTGTTTGTACCTACGCTGCGCGATAGGTCGCAAAGCATGATAAGATTCCTAATCCCCCTTCACCTTGGCCGGGTCGTGGACTCGCTGATCTAGAATAGAATCTGGTGGTAGTGGCGCAGCTTCTACAGCTGCACTATACGGCTCATATCTCCGCTCCTCCAATACATCTGCACGTAGCGGCGGCGGCGGCGATGGTATCTCAGCATGCTGTGTAGGATCAGCCTGTGCCTCCGCATCATGTGAAGCATCTCCGCTGCCTGTGTCCGGTGGCGGCGAGTCATGTGTAGCATCTCTGCGTTCTGTGTAGGAAATGTTAAAAAATAATGTTAGGCTCACATTAATAGTTTATAGAAATGTACATATATAACAAATAAATAAAAATACCTAACGTAGAGGCATGTGCGTCGCCTCTAGACTGTCTACCAAAAAGTCCCTCAAGCGCTCTCTTACGTAGTCCTTTTGTCATCTATACTTTGAAAATATACTGAGCATCCAAAAAAAGCATATAATGCAAATAATTAATAAATAACACATGGTAACTAGTCAAACAGATAATGTAAAGGTAATACTCTAATACATAACACAAACTAACACATGATAACCAGTCAAACAGATAATATAAAGGCAATACTATAATACATGACACAAACTGATACATGATAACCAGTCAAACAAATAATATCAAAGTAATACTATAATACATGACACAAACTGATACATTATTATGACGATGTTGAGGCTCTACTCTGCGACCGTGTGCGATTAGCCTGAGACTGTGTGCGTGCCGACAAAATGACTGTTCTTATAGTTTTATCGACTCCGCTGTGGACTGGTTTTTTACCTTTATGCCTTGGCTCACATATAATCACAGGTACATCAGGGTGTGCTAGTGCAATTTCATCCATCAGATTATTATTTTGTGTCAAGGAAAACTCAACAACTGTTTCGTCGACCAAGATAACCTCCTCATCGTGATCTTCGTCAGACACAACTTCATGAATGTAGGCTCTAGGCGGATTCTTAAGGACAACCCATTCGTTATTTTTCATTATGTCTTTGACATAAAAGCACTGTTTGGCGTGATCAGCTAACATGTACTTTTCATTATGATATATTTCCTTGTTAAGATTAACGAGTGTGTAACCGTAGTCATTCTTTATCCTTTTCAGCTCACACCAACGAACCTTAAACATCACATGTCTGACTTCCTTATTGAGCCCATAGAAAATCTCCACGATGTTTTCTACCTGACCTAGCAATAGAATTCACCTTGTATCGGATTTAGATCTTTTGAACTAGAGTATGACAGTTGCGAAAATGAGCAGAACACACCGCTGTTTTACGTTTGTCGTCTCTCTTCGAAACTGATGGTGTTAAACCTAAAGCCGTTGATGCCTGGAATGACTTTCCTGAGCAAATCTAATAACATCTCAAAATGTGTAACATCCATGTTTCCGTCGAAAGTTACCTTAGTCATTGATTTCATTAAACTTTAAGCGTTACAAATGAATTCAAATAACAAAAGAAAAAGATTACAACTTTCTTGAAAATAAACACAAGATCCGTTTATCGGCTCTTGCTTGCGTGGGTTCTTTGCCAGTGCCGGGGTTAATCCGTGGACGACCTCGAATCAGATCCGGTTGCAGAAAATTGGGCAGATCTTCTACCTCACCAAGGGGGTATTTGCTTAAAGTCCTGAAATCGACAAAGCGAAATCAGGGCTCTTCTCGAGATTAAGACAAAGCCTAATCTCAAGGAACGGACGTACGGGCTTCAGATCCTTCGAACGGCTTCTCCTTTGCTCCGAAGTTCGCCGCGATCTCGTTGACCTTTGCTGAAATTTCGTGCTCCTTCACTCTTCAATCCGGCAGCACCTCGTCCTCTTGATAAAATTCCAGATCCAGAAAATGGAGGCCTTTGGCTCATATTTATAGGCCTCAAAATGCGGTTATTTGGATAAGAACAAGGGATTTGGCTCTATCTTTAGTCAACAGCAGCCTAACCACGTTTGAGGATGATCTCAAGTCAGTTAAGAACCCCTGGAACCGATAAACCCTGCAAAAAACCAACTTAAAACCGTCAAAACGTGTTTTGAAACATTAGACTGCGCGGCGGAACGATCTGACCCGCGCTCGCGCGGGTCGGAATAATCCGTCCCGCGCTTGCGCGGGTCGGATCATTTCGTCCTGCGCTTAGCGCGGGTTGGCCGACTTTTTCCCCTTTTTTGCTTCTTCTCTTCCGAGACTTGTTCTTGTCGCGTATTCGATAGATTTGTTGATTTGTATGCTCCGTCGCGAGACCAATCGTTGAACGCGCGTTGGTTAATGTACGCGTGCTGATCGATGAGCGCGTGCTGATTGATGTGCGCGCATTGACCGGCGCGCACGAGGCGGTTTTTCATGTGCGCGTTTGACCGGCGCGCACGAGTTGGTTGACGTGTGCGCGTTGACTGGTGCGCACGAGGCGATTGACGTGCGTACGTTGATCGGCGCACGAGTTTGTTGATGTGTGCTCGTTGACCAGCGCACACGAGTTGATGACGTGCGTACGTTGATCGGCGCACGAGTTTGTTGATGTGTGCTCGTTGACCAGCGCACACGAGTTGATCTGACGTACGCGCGTTGACCGGCGCGCACGGGCTGAATGGCGTGAGTGCGCCGAGCGACGTGCGCGAGCTGATTAGGTGAATCTCTTTGACTCGCCCATTCATTGCTTCGGATTTCGTGTGGGCTCTCGTAGACAATTTTAGACGCCTACAAGCCATCCCACTGAGTGTTTGGATATGAAGAAGCTGTAGCATAAAAGAAAGCCTTGTGAACTCCTTGCACCCCTCGTATAACGGTGACTTATTTTCTTCAATAAATCTCATCAATCGGTCTACATCTTGAAACATATCAGTAGTGTTGACATCACTCGAAGACGGTGTTGTAAGAATATCTTCCAACATATTAGTCGTGTTAACTGTCGGATTATCGACATCAGTGAACTCTTCCTCTAATTGCATCACTGGGATGCCTTCCCCGTGATGACTCCAAAATACATAAGAGCTATCAAATCCATTGATTGACAGATGAAAACTTACGTCACTCCTAGTGAGCATTTTACCATTCCTGCAATTCTTACAAGGACAGAAAATCGACCCGCTCAGCGACCGTAGAGGGTTGGTGTCAGAGTAGGCTAAGAAGGCTTCTATTCCATCCTTGTATCGGGTGTCTAGATGCCTCCGATCATGTGGTATGCTCATGAAAGATTTGTCAGGAACTGCTCGCATCTAGAATTTAAAAATTAATGGAAGTGAGCATCTCCCTAGATATATCATTTTAATTTAGAATAAATGTGTATGACCGGCTGTCAGAGGAAGGCCTCTATCTCATTAGGTATGTAAATGTGACATGTATATGTATTTACGTGTGTTCAAGTGTACTATCATTTCGTCAAAATTTGTAAGGAGAAAACCTAAATTACTATAGAAGGTCTTCAATAAGGTTAAGAATGTTGTGTGCAGCGAACATTTCGACAGCACCTCAGCAGCACAACAAGAGAGCCAGGTCACAATAGGAATTCATGTTTCACAAAGGAAACAAGAACCTTAAGAAAAATATCTCAACAAAGTGGGATATCAGCTCTTCCTCTCATCAGTTCTAGGACTGACCTGTCGAGGGAACCTAAATAAGCTATTACAAATCACAAAATAGCGAGACAAACTAATTGCTGAGGGGGTATAACTATATTTGTAAGGAGAGAACCCAAATTGCTAATCTTTTTTTTATGTTTAGAAGAGTAGAAAAAGTTCACTGAGGGGGTATATGCACATGGAAATACTACAAGGGGATCCATGCACACAAATAGAAGTACATGGGTTTGTCTGCAACTTGCGATAGTACAAGGGATCATTCACAGTTAATCCTTTCAAATTTGAGTAGTAGAAACAAAGTATAAGACGGTACCAAATAAACACAACAGACAGATGAGGATAGATGGTTATAACACGTTAGTCTACTGAATATGAACCGTCTCATACATCAACATGCAATTCAAAGATATGCAGACGATCTATTTGTATTCATGATCTGCACCAAACATCCCTTGTAGTATTTCCAGAAATGGCTTAAATTTTTTTTTGTATTCATATTTTGAGAGATTTCGTGGTGTGGTATGCCTGCTTTGCATTTGTATATTGTTAGCACAGATTTTATACAACATTTATATTCACTTAAAATTGATAGTGTATGTCTTGTTCTGCCTTTTTTTATATGATCTGCCACAGACTCACAGAGTACTTAATAGAATTCCCAACCCGAAAACACCCCCTACACACACACACATTATTACTGAAGCAGCACGCCACTTTGTGAATGGGTGTATACATGCATTCGTGTCCATACCCATGAGTCACTCTTTCTTTTTGGTGAATTTCTTGAGCCAATCACTAAAAGAAACTTATACTAAACCCACAAGAACTTTCAAAGTTTTTGTAGTAAACCCTCAATAACTTCTGAAATTGCACTAAACTCCTAATAACTATTAGGCTTTTAGAAAATCTCCAATACATTTCTGCATCTTGCTTATAAATACTGTAATAGCGTTAGTGCACATTTTGCATTAACAACAGATTGAGATCCTAAATATCGACTGATGACATCATTGTGGTTATCTGTAAAATCAAAAATTTCTGGGAGATTTTCTACAATTCAATAGCTATCAGTGGTTTAGTGTGGTTTTAAGAGTTATGGGGGTTTACAGCAAAATGTTGAAAGTTCTTAGAGGAATACCGTAATTTACCCTTAGAAAAACCATGACTGCACCTAATATAATTAGTACAATCTTCCATCAGGAAAAAAAAGTACAATCTTCATTCATTAAACTCCTTTCTATATATTTTAAATCGAAAAGAATCATAATCATCATATTATCTTACCAAGACAAAAATGGAATAGGAGCATTTATGATGCCTAGCTTAACGATTTTATGATAATGCTACATGCAAACTACATCATCCTAAAATTTGTGCATCCTGATTTCATACCCCCTTTAATATCCACAAACAACAGAAATTCATAGACAAATTGCAGAATAACTACTCATAGCAGCTTTGTTATTG